GAACGCTCGAACCAAACGGTACGGCGGTGGTTTGAAAACGCCGTCCACACTTATAAGCTGCCCCAAACGGACCCTTAGTTATTTTGATATACCGTATAGCTATATCATTTGCATACCGTATAATAAAATATTTATTTTTACAAACAAATAACACTTTTTACCCCCTTTTTTTTCCGGCACTAAATTACTTGGTATTAGGTTAAAAGTTGCAGAAATAACTTGATTTCAACTATTTTGATCATCATCCAGACGACGTTTAATGTGTGGTTGAGTGCATGTCCGAAAAATGGTCCAAATATGTCACAATGGCCCATCAAATCATATTCCAAAAATAATAATATTTTTTTATAAGCCAAGAGTCTTTAAAGCTCCTCCCAAGCACATCGACTCCTAACAAAATCTGCCATTTTATTCAAGCCATAAAAACTAACAAACGACAAGGAAGTGAAATCCACACTCATCTCTTATTCATGGAGCATGCAAAAACCTACTCATCTTATTCGCCATTGCGCACACCCTCGCCTACTCATCACTCCTAAACCTCCATTATTTTCCCCATCTCCCTCACCTTATTCTGCTCCGCCCCTGAAACCCCCACCGTCCCATTACGCGCAGCGGCAACGACGACACCAATCCAGCCAACCTGATTAGTCCCCGTAGCCCAAATTGGATTGCTGTATATAACAACATTACGATCCTTCTGCAGTATAAGGATATAATTTCCCTCCTCTCCGTTAGTATTGCTCGCCCATAAGGGATTATTATTAGAGTCATAGACGACGAGATTGCCGTCGCGCTGCATGATGGCATAGCAACCCGAGCCCTTGTTTTGGGTCCCTGAAGCCCAGAGCGGAGTGCTGTAATCGTAGAGGACAAGGTTGCAGTCGTACTGCATGGTGAAGAAATAGTGGCCTTGGACGAGGGAATCACCGGGGTTGAGGCGCTCGCCGGCGAGCAAGTGGTTGTAGGTCTGGGCTGAGGATGGGATGGCGAGAAGGATTGTGAGGGATGCGGAAAAGAGGATGAGGGTTTTGATCATGGGGAAGAAAGCCATGGCTGGTTAAGTGAGGGGTTTGCTTTTGTGGTTTTGGTGGGAGGGGTTGGATCTGTATTTATAGTAGCGGGGAGGCGTATCGGGATATATATATATATATATTATAGCGGATCAATTAAAATCATGTGTAAACTATCAAATTTATGAAAAAAAGTATAAATGAATGATTTTATTGGAATAAAAAATTCAATTTTATTTAATTTTATTATTGATGGAAAGTGCTTCCTCTTTTTAAGAAAATTTTATTATATTATAAGTTCTTAAATTTATACAATTTCAATGATATATCTCTATTAGTGATAAAAATTTGCTGAAATGCTAACTATTTACTTATCCCTACGAAAATATATCAATATCAATGCCCATAAAATTGGCATTTTGTATGAAAAAGTTTCTGCAATCAGCAGGCTAAAACTGTGCCGGGTTGGGATTAGCCGAAGGAGAATAGAGAGCTCGAGTCTTCGAGGTATAAGTCTAATTCTTAGCTTTTCTCACCAAATTAAATTTCATTTTTTGTTGTGAAGCTTAGGAAAACAAGTCTTTCTTTGTAGGCAAATAATTTTGCAGTTAATTGATGTCAAAAGGTGTTAATTATAAGCTAAGAGTTGCTTTAAATTGAAGAAATTTATATCTTTATTAGGCAATTTACAAAAGTTGAAAACAACATAATGATTGAAATAAAAAAATTGCTTTAAGTATGATCTGTAATTTTTTGTAAGGCGCTCAATTTTATGAGTTTTGACTACTATATGAACTATATGTTAGAAAGTTTTCACATTATACTGTGTGTGTTTTTGTTGTATCATTAAATGATTGCACATTATAATTTAAATTATAGTAAGCATAAATGTGATGTATTAAACCTAGGTTAGGAATTATTAAATTACCCAAATTTCAAATTAGGATAAAATGTACTTATAAATTTCAAATTGATGTGTATAATTCAATTGTATGTTTACAAGAAACGATATTTGTACAAAGATGTTCAGCAATATAAATAGAAAAAGCTCAAGAAATGTCATTTTGTGTAAAACAATCCACATTAATGTTATATATATATATATATATATATATATATATATATATATATATTACTAGTGTAATTAAGTAGGGCAAACAAAGGAAGCCCACATGGATGTAAAATGGTACTCAAATTTATAACAAACACACACACACACACTACAGAAATTTAGGTTTTTTTCCGACAACCACGATCCATCGGGTATGATTAAAAAAACTGTCATTTTAATGTTACCGACGATTTTTTATTTGTAGGTAAAACCCTTATCGGTAATTCCAAAACCGATGAATATGCTAGCGGTATAAATTTACCGACGATTATTCGACAATTTAATGTTGTAGCTTTTTTTTAAGAAAAATTGAGTTGTCAATAATTGTCAATTAGTATAACCAATAGTTTTTTTGTCAGTAATAGCGGTGACATGTACGACAGAAAAGTGTCGTGTCAATTGGATTTTTGAAACAGACAAAACTATCGGTTATGCGTCATTTGTTATAATTGAAGGGTTAACTATAAGAAAAGTGTTGCACCCGTTAGTTTTTTGACGAGTGCAAAAACCGTTGGGTAAGCGTCGTTTATGTGTCATTTTTTATAACTGATGGGTTGACTATCGGAAAAGTGTCGAACCTGTCACTTTGTATGACACACCTTAAATCGTCGATTATGTGTTGGTTAGACATCAGTAAAAATGTTCATCGGCTAGCCATCGGCTTTGCCTACGAAAAGTTTGGAATAGTCACAAAACTATTGGTGAGCTGTCGGAAACCTGCAACATTAGGAAGAAAACAAATTCTTTCTTTTGTATTTATATTATCACACATACTATTACAATATTTAATATACAATTCTCAAGATTTTAACAAAATAAATTAACTAGCAAACAGTAAATTATCCAATCAAATAATGAAATAAATAAAACACATTTACTTTAAAATATGCACATCACTGTTCACAGAAAAAATATATGTTCAAATGTTCATAAACATAAAAAATAAAGCCCCTCCTAATCATCCTCATCATCCTCCACCGCTTCCTCCTTCAACAATGTTTCCACTGCCTTGCCACGCTCACTCATTCGCTACCGGAAAGAATCCAAATCAGCTATCAGCTTGGCCTCTTGTTGGCCTCCAGCTCGAACTTAATCTAAGAGAAGCAAACTTCCATCTCGACAGAGAATGCCACAACATGCCTGGTCCCCTCATCCTGTGTGGTAGAGGAAGGAGTAGTAGATGCTCTGGTAGAGGGGTGAGCATCGTAGGCAAACCACTACGACCCAAGCTCGTAGACGCGACCCTTCCTCTTCCCTTTAACAACCTTCCTCCACACATCATAGTCAGAAGGATCACATTTGTGGATCGTAATTCCTACTAACACCTGGGATAACCTCTCATTCAGTTGCTGGAATCTCTCTTCCTAATAAAAGCAATTACATTCAATTAGAGCTAACATGTATTATTATCAAACTAGTTTAGCTCTTCAATTACTTGGGTCACACAAGATCTGTCATCAATCCAAGACTAGTCCAACCATCTGCTATGGATGTGCTCATGTATTTCAGTGGTAGATGGCTCTCATCTAATCTCCACATCTTGTCTAAAAATAAAATTTTTAGAATACATGTTCGAACTATAGAAAACCTTATAGTTAAATGAACTCATAGCATCAGGTCAGCTTGACCTAACTTGAGTTAACCAAAATCAACTAAATCACCTGGTTAGCTGAACCTAACTCGGCTTAATCTCAATCAACTAAATTATCGGGTCAACCTAACCTAACTCAGGTTAAATCCAAATCAATTCACATATCCTGGGTCGATCCGACTTAAATCAGGTCAACTAGATTAGGAAGTCGGCTTCAAACTTAACTTGAGTTCAACTTAACCCGAGTTAAATTAAAGGTCGACTCAAGGCTTAATTCGATCAAATCTAAATTAACTTAAACTTCACCTAAGTCTAATTTAAGTTAGAGTTGATCCGACTCAGAAGGTTTAAGTCGAGTAAACCTAGCTTGACCCAGGTTAACTTAAAGTTAACTCAAACCAAATTGGAACAACTCAACTCAACCTCGTTTTAGTCTAAAGCAGTCTGGCTTAGCTTGACCACAATCAAACTGAGCTAACCTAGTGTGGTTTTGTAGGGCTCGAGTTAGGGCTATTTATAGCTATGGGAGATCATGGGATGGGATTGGCAAGCATGGGGAAGCTCAGACGACTACTAAAAGCATGTGAAGAGAATTTTTAGAGGCTTTTGGTAGGGAAACCAGTTCTTTCTCAGTTCTCCATGTATTGGCCATGTTGGTGCTTATGGGAGTGAAGGTGGCATGGAGAAGGGTTTGGTTGATTGGGGAGACCTTTTGGTGGGTGGCTAAGACTAGATTTTGTCTAAACTTGGCTCACCAAGGGTTGGTCAAAGAGGTCATGACCAAGGTGTCATGTGGTGGACGACTTGCCTAGGTGTGTGGTTTTTGTCCTTTAGTGTTTGTTTTTAAGTTAAAAAATAATTTATTTTAAATTTTTTGTCAACCATATGCCATAATGGGTTGGGTTTGTGTCATGGGTCACCCTCGGAGGATGGGTTATGAGGAGATGGGTATGGGCTTTGGATTTTAGGTTAGGGCTAACCTGATGTGCTTGGGCTTAACCCAAAAGTTTAAGCCCTAATGACATTTCATAATTTACCTAATTAAAGAATTAGGTGAATTATGATGACCCCATGGTGCCAAATTTGGGCCCCATGTGGATTGATGTCTTAACCACTTTGTGTGGGGCTCAATTATATGACAATGGGGTCAATTGGTCAAAAATTGATTAGCATTGGGTTGGGCCCAAGTTGATTTGACCACCCATGGTGCCATCAAGCCTTCGGGTTTAAGTGGGGTGTTGGCCTTTCAAGGTGATTTTTAGGATTAATTGGGGTTGGGTAGGCCTTTAGTGAGGTCAGGGATCAATTTAGGTAGACACCTGCGCCACCCTCTTCCATTGTGAATTGTAGTGTCATGGTGGTCCTCATGGTTCATAGAGAGATTTCTAGGGTCTTGAATTTCATAGGTGACCAAGGGCATCTCTTACCATGGGGTGGCTTGAGCCTATCATCAGACCAAAACCTTAAACCATCCCAACCAAAGTTTGGGGATTTGGGCTTGTCCTTATGTGGCCTAAGGGAACATAACCCTAGTGTGGGGGTTATGTGCAGGAGAGTGGGCGAGTCCTCATAAAAAGTGATGTCAACGCATTTTAAAAAATGTTACTATGCAACATTTGATGAATCATAAAATCTTTGTGTTTCGCTGTTTGGTGGTTGATCATCCTCATAATCATTCTCAATAAAATTAGCTCTACTTGCATAAAAAATTATTTCTTCATATATGCTAGCATCATATTTAGTTGGAGAGGCGGAGCCTAATGAAGCACCAATGTGACTGTACTAAACATCTAGTTCATATTTTTCATGTGCAGTCATGTACCAATGATTACGATGAAAGCCTTACAATACAAACACAATGACTTCATTTTAGTGTTAGGTATGTTTGATTTTTGTAATTCAGACAAGGACATCAAAACATATCTTTTAAAAAGTAAATATAAAGTTGTGATGCCACTTACACAAAATTCTCCTACACTGTTTTAGAACTCATCACTGAGCCTTTAATACTACGTGCATATAATCTATTATATAATCATGATCTTAAGAGATTTAAATTATCAAGTTATACATTTGAATCATCCATGATCCTGAATGTTGGACTAAAAGATGTGGAAATAAATAAAAAATGAAAAATGAATAAAGAACAACTCAGGGTTGTATTAAAAAGTTTGAAGAAAAAGAAGAATTATGAAACTAACATTAGGTGGTTAAATTTGAAAATTACTTTAACGTCAAACCAAAATTTTCATCTAATTTTAGAGCATGCCATTTTTTTTTTTCACAATTTATGAGGTGACTCACTTAGCCATATGAAGATATGTGTTGGCTACCTCAAT